TTCGTGCGCCGCTCGCACCTGGCCAACCACCAGCGCATCCACACGGGCGAGAAGCCGCACGGCTGCGGCGACTGCGGCAAGCGCTTCAGCTGGCGCTCGGACCTGGTGAAGCACCAGCGCGTGCACACGGGCGAGAAGCCCTACATGTGCTCCGAGTGCGGCGAGGCCTTCAGCGTCAGCTCGCACCTCTTCACGCACAAGCGCACGCACTCGGGCGAGCGGCCCTACGTGTGCCGCGAGTGCGGCAAGCGCTTCGGCCGCAACTCGCACCTGGTCAACCACCTGCGCGTGCACACGGGCGAGAAGCCCTTCCGCTGCGGCCAGTGCGAGAAGCGCTTCAGCGACTTCTCCACGCTCACGCAGCACCAGCGCACGCACACGGGCGAGAAGCCCTACACGTGCCTCGAGTGCGGCAAGAGCTTCATCCAGAGCTCGCACCTGATCCGCCACCGCCGCATCCACACCGGTAACAAGCCGCACAAGTGCGCCGGCTGCGGCAAGGGTTTCCGCTACAAGACGCACCTCGCGCAGCACCAGAAGCTGCACCTGTGCTAGGCCCGGGCCCGGCGCAGGCTGCGGGCGGGGGAGCACCTGCGGGAGAGATGCCCCGCGCACAGACCCTACCGAGGGAAATGGGAAAGGGCGGGACGGACGGGCCGAGAGTGACTGGGGAGCCTTTTGGTGTTCAAGGGAGGGGGGGGCCTGAAGGGGAGGGTTGAGGAAGCGTTGTTCTTCTGGGGTGCTAGATCCTGCCTGCCTCCTCCCCAGCGGAGAAGTGTTCGGGAGATGCGCTCGGGCGTGGTGACGTCCTCGGACACACGCTGTGGGAGCTGGCCCTTGGAGGAAGGGGAGCGCCGGGGCGGGGGCGAGGACCGGATGGCAGGCAGTACAGTCGGTTGGGCTGCGATGACCTGTGGGGATCGGGAGAGGGTGTGATTGGAGTGAGGGTTATGGAGCGAAATAAAAGGCGGGTGGGGATAATTCTGTCCTGGTGCCAAGAGGTGCGAAGCCACTGTTTGCCGTGTCCCCTCACGTCAGCTCTAGATAGTCCCACGAAAAACAGAGCAGCCTTGTCAGTCGTGTA